GAAGAGTTCCAGATAGTGGGAGCTGAGGGTAGAGAGAAAATGAAAGATCATATTCTGGAAGACTTTGAAGATCTGGAATTGAACTCCAAGGGAGAAGTATAACAACATCTCATTTTTATTAAAGTGAGCTATAATTCAAGAAGCATAAAATCTTCTTAAAATGTTACATTGTGTGTGTGTGTGTGTGTGTGTGTGTGTGTGTGTGTGTGTGTGTGCCTGTGTGAGTTTATATGCATATGCACAGGGGGCCTTCAGAGACAGGTAGAGGGTGTCAGGTCTTCTGGAACTGGAGTTACAGGCAGTTTAGGAGCCATTCTGTGGAACTGAACGTGGATCCTCTGCAAAAGAAGAAAGTGCTTTTAACTTCTGAGCCATCTCTCCAGCCCTCGTAAAATCCCTTTAAAGTATAAAATACAGGTCTTTTTTTTTTTACTGATTTTACAAAGCTAATTAACCATAATCACATTCTAATTCCAGAGCAGATAACATCCTCCTGATTGTTTCTGAACAGAGAACACATGGGATATGATTGTACTTCAAGCAGATCAGTTTAGCAACAGAGTTGGGATGACCACAGAGGACCTAGAATGGGTAATAGGTTCAGAAGCTTGGAGACCTGGAATAGAACAAGTCATATGCCATTTGCCTCTTAAGTGATCTTCTCAACCCATCCATGACAAACAAGACTTATGATGGGATCACATGAGATAATCTGTGTTGTTTCTCATCTTGTATTTCCCCCTCCTCCAATCAAAAAAAGGTAGCCTGATGTCTGTGTTTTGTAACAACACTGTGGCCAACCTCCTCCACCTTCCATTTTAGGGATTCAGAAATCAATGTTTTGATTATGTTTGAGAGGAGAAAGAGGGCCTATTGTGAGGCAGTAGGAACTGAGGCTAAGAAATAACAAAGGTCAGAGGGATATTCCCCCACATTTTGGAGAGAAGGTGTTTTCTGGTTATGGAGGGAGCAGGAGCTTCACAAGACGTGACAGCATACTAATTCTAGGAGGTTGAGCCCAAACCCCAGAGCCCCAGGCCTCAAAGATAAAAAAAAACCTGCATCACTTTGCAAGTGTGACAACACAAACCTTTAATCTCAGCACTCAAAGGCCAGCCTGGTCTATATAACAAGTTCTAGGACTGCTAGGGCTATATAAGGAGACTTTGTCTTAAAACAAAACAAAAAATTACAAAAAATCAAAACCCAAACCCCTCCTGAACCCAAGTGAGGCAGACAAGTTTGTAGCCCCCAAGATCACAGGCCTTGGACAGTGAATACATCACTCTTCCATGGAAGAGACTCTCCTAAGCATTCAATTTTGCAGTAAACTCCTAGGTTTAGCTAACCTTGTTCTAGTGGGTGGAAAGCCCATGGTCATAGTAACTGAGCTATCACTTGGGCAGGGGGAGGTGCAAATGCATGCTTTCTTGAGAGGTCACATACTGTGATTAATGGTATGGTTTCTGAGGCCAGCAAACAATTCCTGCCACCACGATTTATTCATCATTAAGAACTTGAACATGTGTGCAGTGTCTTTCATTCTCTAGTTGGCAAATCTCTTGCATCTCAGATTCTTTCCCAGAGTTCCTATCTCTCCCTGAAAGTCCCTCCTATCCTCTCCTGCCTAGCTATTGGCCATTCAGCTTTTTACTAAACCAATCAGAAGGTGTCTTAGGCAGGTGAGGATAAATAGACACATCTTCACACAGTGTACAAAAAGATTAGCCCAACAAGCATGTTAACCTGTAGTTGGAAATTTTCCTGTGTCCCAGCTGGCCAACAGTCAGGACAAATCTCTCCCACTCGCATCCCCCAAGTAAACACACAGAGGCTTATATTAATTATAACTGCTCAGCCATTAGCTCAGGCTTATTACTGACTAGCTCTTACACTTAAATTAATCCATCATTCTTATCTATGTTTAGCCACATGACTTGATGCCTTTTCTCAGTTCAGCCTTGTCATCTTGCTTACTCTGTGTCTGGCTGATGACTCCTGACTCAACCTTCCTCTTCCCAGAATTCTCCTCTCTGCTTGCCCTGCCTATACTTCCTGCCTGGCTACTGGCCAATCAGCATTTTATTTATCAACCAATCAGAGCAACACATATTCACAGCATACAGAATGACATCCCACGGCATTAACCTCTCTGGATCTCTGTCTTATGACGGAATATAAAATGCCCTCCACACTTTGAGATGAAGCGAGTGGCACTATTTTGGGAGGAAAGTTCTGGAAACCTTAGGAGGTGGAGCCTAGGTGGAAAGAGTAGGTCACAGGGTGTGGGGGTGCGTTTGAAGGCTATTTGCCTATGTCTTGGTCTCTTTCTTGCTCAATTTCCTGTTCACCACATGTTCTGCCAAAGTGCATGGGTATCGACAATTGTGGGCTGAACCCTCTCTCCTTTAAGTTGTTCTCTCAGATACTTTGGTCATAGGTAAAAATGGTAACCGATACATTGGGTTTCCTCCAAATGAGAATGTGAATCAACTATCTCATAGTCATATCTGAGGATTAAATAAATATGTGTGAAGTACTTATAACACGACTTGGTGTAAAAGTTTTATTTTAGTGTATGTGCTGGATAGTTTTATGTCAACTTGACACAAGCTAAAGTCATCTGAGAGGAGGGAACTTCAATTAAGAAAGTTTCTCCTTAAGATCAGGTTGTAGGCAAGACTGTAAGGCGTTTTCTTAATTAATGATTGATGTAGGAGTGCTCAATCCATTGTGGTGTGCCATCCCTGGGCTGGTGGTCTTGGGTTCTCTGAGAAAGCAGGCTGGGCAAGCAAGAGGGAGCGAGCCAGTGAGCAGCACCCCTCCATGGCCTCTACATTAGCCCCTGCCTCCAGGTTCCTGCCCTGTGTGAGTTGCTGCTCTTGTTGCTTTTGATGATGAACTGTTAAATGGAACTGTAGGCAAAATAGACCCTTTCCTCCCAAAATTGCTTTGGTTGTGGTGTTTCATTGCAGCCATACAAACCTTAACTAAGGCAAGTTGGTAGTAAAATAAAAGGGTATTGCTGTGACAGATCTGAGCATGTTGTTTGGGGGAGAATGTGGAAGGACTTTGGAACTCTGTACAAGAAAAGCTATTGAGTGTTCAATGCTTGGTGACCTGTTCTGTGTGAGCTTGGAAGATGAGACTGTTGAGAACAATGCAGAAGATGGAGGCCTGGCTTGTGAAGTTTCAGGGGGAAGTTTAAAGACTCTATCAGGACCATTTCTTATTTACTGTTATTCTCATACAATACATCCCAACCACAGATTTTTCCTCCCTCCACTCCTTCGAGTTCCCTCACACACACCTCTCCTCTCCCCCAGATCCACTCCTGCTCTGTTTCCCTTTATAAAAGAGCAGGCCTCCCAGGGATATCAACTGAACACAGCTTAACAAGATACAATAAGACTAGACACAAACCCCCACATCAAGGCTGGGCAAGGCAAGCCAGTAGGAGGGAAACAGTCCCAAGAGCAGGCAAGAGTCTGAGACACCCCCCACTCCCACTGTCAGAAGTCCCACAAAACATCAAGCTAACAGCCATAACATATATGCAGAGATCCTAGCACAGGCCCATGCAGGCTTAGTGGTTGCCACTTCAGTCTCTGTGAGCTCCTATGAGCCCTGCTTAGTTGATTCTGTGGGCTGTGTTCTCCTGGTGTCCTCGACCCCTTTGTGTAGATGTAAACAGCCTTCTTATTAAATGAGAAACACAGAACCAATGCAAAGAAGAAAGCCAAGAGGTCAGAGCTAAGAGCTAAAACCTTACCCTTCCTCCTGCGGTGGTCCTACCTCTCCGAACCAGAGCTACCCCTGTGTTAAAGTCTTTATATAGAGTTCCTGTCCTGCCTTCTCATTGGTTGTAAACCCAACCACATGACCGCCTCCTCACAGCCTGTCTGTATAGGCCTCCAGGTTTTCCATGATTGGTATTAAGATTAAAGGCATGTGTATCCAATAATGGCTGTATCCCTGAACACACAGAGACTTACCCAGCTCTGCCTACCAAGTGCTGGAATTACAAGCGTACGCTACCACTGCCCTGATTTCCTATGGCTTGCTAATAGCTCTGACCCCCGGGCAACTTTATTTATTAACATACAAATAACATTTTAATACAAATAAAATATCACCATATATAACTAATATAAGAAAAACTATATACAAAAGTACAATAACTATATACAATATATACAAGTAATAAATACCTAAACAATGTCTAGTTCATTTGTATTTGACAAATTCAGAGAAAATAATTCCATTATCTATCCTATTGTATCTAATTCACTTTCTATCCTAATTAATCTTCAACTATAACTAACTAATCTTCAACTCCCTCAGAGACCCAAGAAAGAAATAATATTAGCTAACAAAAAAATAAAAACAGGAAGTATATGCAAGCAACTTCCAAAAAATTTGTGAGTTGACAGAAACAGCCAGCTGCCTGGACAATCATCTGAGGTTTCTCCGCAGTGTTAGGGCATCATCTTCAGCCTATAGGCTTAGCGTATCTGACAGACTCATTTGTGAAGTAGGATGTACACAAGGTCAACAGTTCAACCTCACACTGGGTGAGAGCAGTCTATATACCAGAAACACCTGAATTCCACTAGTGTCATGTCATGATTCAGGATTTTAAATTCTGGAAATTGTTGATTTTTTTGAATTCAGCTGTCCATTCTTCTTGGCTATGTGTGTATGTGGCTTCATTTCAGCATCCCGTTCTTCTCCACATCCCTCTATTAAATGCCATTCTACTGTTGAGAGGTGTGAGCTTAATTTCTCTTTAAGAATAACTGTTTCAACTACCTTCCCATTGCACATCAGAAGCCATGGGCCCACTGCCTGTTAAGCTGCCTTCGAAGAAAAGGGCACTGTACCTTTCCCGGATTGCGAAGGCCACTTCAGGGATGGTGCCATATTGTCCTGGCCTCAGGAGATGCCTTTTGATAAAGCCATAACCACACTTGTTTTTACAAGAATCAGTAGTCCTCGGAGCGTTGTCCCTGCCCCTGCATGGCGTCCAGAGGATGTCTGCCTCGTTTGAGGAGCATAGTGGGGTGGTTCCGTGTGTCACGCCGTGGGGCCAGTGGTACCAGACCCTGGAGGAGGTGTTCATTGAAGTCCAGGTGCCCCCGGGCACTCGCGCGCAGGACATCCAGTGCCGCCTGCAGAGCCGGCATGTGGCTCTGGCCGTGGGTGGCCGTGAGATCCTCAAGGGAAAATTATTTGATTCTACAATCGCTGATGAAGGAACATGGACTTTGGAGGATAGAAAAATGGTCCGCATTGTCCTGACAAAGACCAAGAGAGACGCTGCAAACTGTTGGACTTCTCTTCTAGAATCTGAATATGCAACTGATCCCTGGGTGCAAGACCAAATGCAGAGAAAACTTACATTAGAGCGGTTCCAGAAAGAAAATCCTGGTTTTGACTTCAGTGGAGCAGAAATCTCAGGGAACTACACAAAGGGTGGACCAGATTTCTCAAACCTTGAGAAATGACTGCTATTCTTTAGTTTTGTTCCATCTTGTGGATCCCAGCAGGTGCTGACAACTTAATGCAGCAGATGATATGAAGGATGAAAAATATGGATGTCTACAGTTAACATATTGCACAATGTATTTCAGTATGGTTCTAAAAGATTCCATTGAGAGATGATTTACATAGGAGGTATAGCAGCTGTCCTGTGGTTAGATGGTAACTTTTCTGGTTCTGCGTTAAGTTTTATATGCTACATTTTACTGATTTCATATTTAATTGTATTTTTACTACAAAAGCATTGGATTATAAATCATATGAAATGAAAAAGTGCCTTCAGGGATTTTTTTTCCTTTTTTTGGTGTGATGCAGGAATGAAGTTCAGTAAACTTCTAAGTAAGAATTATGCACCCCTTTGTCTAAATATGCTAGTCCATACAGGGAAGTACAGTGTGCTGGAGAAAGTTTAAGGAAGGACAAAAGTATACAGAAGAGCTTTGGCTAATGTGTAGAAAGCTTACAAGTACTAACAGTTTAAAAATCTTGTACTGTTTTTTAATAAATCGACATGATGCTGTCACCTCAAAAAAAAAAAAAAAAAAAAAAGAATCAGTAGTCCTTTGTTTCGTGTCCTGTCTGTCCTGTTTGTCAGCAGTTGATTTGAGGATACTTTGTTGTCCAGTGGCTAACTTTTGCCACAGTGAAAGTTAACTCCATATGCAGTTTCTTCAATGCCCATATTTTCTCTGAAGTAGATTGGTACTGCCAGGAGCCGACATGTCTCATAGTCATAACAAAAAAGAAAAATTTTCTAAGTTATTAAAACATTTTAAATGCCATATTCTGTAGATCTCTGAAGAGTTTGAAGATAACCTGTCTATCTAAAATATATCTACTCAATCTTGAAAACATACCTAATATAACTACAAGTTCTATTATAATGTCTAACTACTAACTTTCATTTCTTTATATCCTAATAGTTGGTAATAACATTCAAGGATCAGAAAATTGCATTACATTGTTAGATGAACGGTACAATTAGAAATATATATATAACATTTTCTAACAATATCAATTTCAATACATATAATTTGTATACAATATAAAACAATCCAATCCAATGTAAAATATTTACATTTTTCTTTTTCTTTCTTTCTTTCTTCCTTTTTTTTTTCTTTCTTTTTAAATAAGAACCTTAAATCTAATCTCCTTTGCTTAGCCCTTTTCCTCACCCTTGACAACAACTTGTAACCAACCCCCCTAATCAATGAAAATTATCCCAGACCCAAAACCCATTAAAAGACCCAAAAAACCACCCGCCCCACACCACCACTTTGGGAATGTGGGCGTCGTATTCTTGCAATTGCTTCCTGCTGGGTATGGGTGAAGGTATCTTTATCCTGAAAGAAAAATTTTAGGTTAATTGTCAAATTCTAGGAAAGGTAAATATATCCTTTGTTATCCAGTCTGTGTATAATGCCAAAGTTCAGGGTTTATCTCAAATCCTTATTCAAGTAGTCTTTGAGACTGGATCATCTCAGCTAGCTCTCTCAAAATTGCTCTGAGCACTTTGTAGTTCAAAGCTGATCTGTAGATGATGTTTGTCAGCTTAGTGATGTTATCATTGTCCATGTGGAATTGTTGTTGTTGTGGGGCCCCATCTTCTTCCTGGAGACTTCAGTTGATGTTAGGCCTGACCGTGATTTCCTGCAAAAAACTGATGAGACTCAAACACAAAGACTATATATGCGGCTTTTTAGAATTAGTTAGTACTCTATATGACCATTTATATCTTAACAAAGTTTAAAATGTATATATATATATATATTAATCTTGTAAATTTTGATATAAAATTCATACTTTAAGAAAAGTTTAAAGAATCAGAATAGAATCAAAGAGTTGAGATTAGTAATAGAATAGTCCCTTAATTAATTTGGCTTTTCTCCTGTCCCATAGCAGAAGATGGCTCTTTTCTTCTGGCATGATACAGGGAGTTTGCATTTTCCTTTTAACAACATGCTTGAGTTTAAAGAAGGAGAGGGCCATTCTCCAACTCCAAAGTCAGCTTTAAATTTTAATTGAACTGGGACTATTAGAAGTTAAATAGTGTTAAATCTTTAAAGAAAAGACAAGCAGAAACAAACATTTAGGAAGACATAAAATTTTTTAGATAACATACCCATATACCATTTCACTGTTTCTTAGGATAGACGATTTGTCCCTTTTCTTCAGTTGTCTCATTTGTCCAGTGTTCTTCAAATTCCTTAACCTTCATTCTCCTAAAAGACAAAAACAAAAACCTTTTCCCAAGGTTTTTTGGGGATGTTCCTTATTGGCAAGTTATTATCTGATTAAATGAAAAGGCATGTGTTACTGGTGTAAGTTAGTTTAAATTGGATGTTCATGATAGTTGATGAACTATCACCTCCTCTAATTAAGAGGTTTCTCTTGTTCAAATCGAACCTTTATCAATTTTGATGGTACCCACACCTTTGACTCCTACAATTCTTCCTCTATCAGGCCTCTCGGATGCCATTTTTTTATTTTGGATTAAGGTTCTGTGGCTCTGGTTATCTTAGGCTGTAGAATCAGCTGTGACTAACAAGACATCAGAACTACTAAAGTGATCTCTGCTTTGTTTGCCAGGATACTCCATGCTGGTCAGCTGGAGCCGAGAAATTAGCAGTGATTAAGAGGAGACAAGCATCATTGATATGAAATCTTCTGGGAAGCGTTTCTTAGATCACACAGAAGCTGTGTTCCAGAGGTGGCCAAGGTTATACCTCACACTGGCAGTTGAACTTGGTAGTATTAGCATCACCCAGGTGGTACTGGTTTTGAAGGCATGAAGAGAGGAGCTGAGGCTTGGCAGTATGAGAGGTTAGGAGAGGCCACGGGTGAAGGTGCAGCCTCAGTGGCAGTTGAAGGCCCATGATTGAAGGGGTCATACTGAGAAGTTGAGGTATGGTACCGTGAAGACAGCCTATGAGAGGCTATTGGTGAAAGTGCCGCCCAGTTGCAGCAGAGGACCCCGGCATTTTGGAGATGCCAGTACCATGGGATGACCGCCAAGGACAGCAGCAGCAGGAGATTGGAGCCAGCCAGAGCCTAGAAGACAAGCTGTGTGTGCTGAAGAGGGTGGAGCTGGAGAAGTAGTAACTCAAGAACCTTGGAGGAGCCCAGAAGATACTGGGTAAATCCCAGACTTTGGATTTTTTTACATTTTTACTTCGGAGTTATTTACATTTTTGCATTTTGATTTTGCTTTGATTTGATTTTGACTGTAGCATGGTTCTTCCCTCTTGGAGTAAGAAAGTGTTTCATTTATTTACTACTTTATAGGAGCCTACAGTTAAGAGACTTTGAATTTTAAAAGAGATTGGCTATTTTTAAAAAGTCTGAACTTTTAATGTGTTTTAATTTGTAAAGACTATAGGGTTTTTTAAGTTATCTATATATTTAATGTGAGATCTTGGGGATTAATGAGAAAGGAAAAGTTGTGATGTGTTTATGTGTCAAGCTGACAAGGAGTCAATTGTGCCGGACAGTTTTATGCCAAGTTGACACAAGCTAAAGTCATCTGAGAGGAGGGAACCTCAATTAAGAAAACGCCTCCATCAGATCTGGTTGTAGGCAAGCCTGTAAGGCAGTTTCTTATTTAGTGATTGATGGGGAAGGGCTCAGTTCGTTGGTGGTGGTACCATCCCTGGGCTGGTGGTCCTGGGTTCTATAAGAAAGCAGGCTGAGCAAGCCATGTGGAACAAGCCAGTACTCAGCTCCCCTCCATGGTCTCTGCATCAGCTCCTGTCTCCAGGTTCCTGCCCTGTGTGAGCTGCTTCCCTCATTGCTATTGTTGATGAATTGTTATACGGAAGTGTGAGCAAAATAAACCCCATCCTCCTAAAGTTCCTTTGGTCATGGTGTTTCATCACAGCAACAGCAACCCTAACTAAGACAATAGATCATGGTTACTTTTCTTCTTAGTGTGAGAGAACATCTCACAAAGACATCTTTAAAGGAGGAAGAGTTTGGTTTGGCTCCTAGTTTGAGGGGGAAACATGCATCATGGTGAAGAAGGCATGGTAGTGGAGCATGAGGCCACAGACCACAGCATATCCACAGCCGAGAAACAAAAGAAGGTGGATGCTGGCACTCCCTTGCTTTCTCTCCCTTGATATTCAGTTTGGGGTCCCAGATCACAGGATAGTACTGCCCAAACTCGGAAAGGATCTTCCCAACCCATTTAAACTTTTCTTGAAATACTCTCACAGACATACCCAAGGTGTGACTCCTAGGTGATTCTAAGTACCATCAAACTGATAGTCAAGATTAACTGTCACAAAGTGCTTGCTAGCTTGCTTGCTTGAATGAATGAATAAAAAGGAAGTATTTCCTTCTTAAAGGCAGTGTCCACGGGGGGAGGGGGGGTTCCTTCTGCCCTTCGCATCCCACCTCTCCAGGGCTAAAGGATTTGCTGAAGACTTATGCCACATAAGTTGGATTAGCAAGGGCACTCCAACTTCTGGTTGCCACTGTCACCACCCTGTAGGACATCACTAGTCACCCCTAGAAGGGTCATTGCTAAAAGCACAACTTAGAGGGAACTTGTCATCTTGCCTTGATACAGAGGGAACACATGTAGGACCCAATCACACATCTCCCCTAATCTCGTTCTTCTTAAGGATTTAAACCCTTGCAACTGCATTGTCCTGTAAATAACTGGACTTCCCTACAAAGCGGTGAGCTCTCACAGGGGCAGAGAGTATGTGGACACAGTTGTAAAAGTGTTACAGAGTGAGCAGGTGTTACTATTCTGTACACAACACTTTCAACCATCCATCAATCTCTGTCATCTCATGGCTGATGTGCCAGGTTCTGAGGACCAAAATTGTGTGGTTAGGAGAAGGGAGATTTGGGTATAAGAAAAGAGACAGAGAATTTCCATTGCATAAATCCTGATTATAGGACAAGGGCCCTAGTAAGATCCAGAGAGAGTTCTGGTCATCTCTGCCAGATGAAACTCCCCCAGAATGACCTAAACCAGTTCTTTCCCTCCTGGACAAGAGGAAGGAAAAGTCCCATTCAGAACCACAGAGAAACAAGTCTTCCGTACTGATTATATACAATTTGCAACAGTGTTTCATTTGGTGCCCAGGAGCCTGTAATAGCTGGAATTACCCTTGTTCCTCTTCCTCCTTGCAGGGCCAGAGCTCTGTGATTATATGTCAGGGGATGACATCTCCATGCCAAACTTGCTTGGCTCTGGTTTTGTTTTGTAATTGTGTGTGTGTGTGTGTGTGTGTGTGTGTGTGTGTGTGTGTGTGTGTGTGTGTATTCAGAATCTAGATGTTCTCTTCTTT